ATATTAAATAATACATTTTTGCTAATTACGAGTCCATTTCGATTGTATTTTTTTTTATTTCCATTCAAAATATTCATGTTAATTATCATTATTATTTTTCTTTATCTATAATAATTAAGACATTGTAATTGTGAGCGACAAAGGAAACCAGGAATGGAAATTGGAAATATGTATATAATAGTCAAAGGAACTTAGAAGACTAGGGCCGTGAAGGAAAGCCAAAAGGAAACAATAGATATACGTGTCAATTTCGAATTTGGTAAATAATTATATATAGCTATAAATAATATATGTGGCCTGTACTCCACAGTAATATATGAGACTGTAATAATGGAATTTTACTAGTATTTATTTTACTAGTATTTATTTTACTAGTATTTATTTTGCTAGTATTTATTTTACTAGTATTTATTTTACTAGTATTTATTTTATGGTAAAATAATGAGACGTAATAACCTAATAATGTAACATCTGTAATATTTACATTACCTTATTTGAGCAAATAAATTGTTATCTGTACTCTACACTTATAATAAATCTGTACAGAGGTCAATTCTGTACTTGAAATATATTTCCAAAATAACTATCAGGGGGTGATTAGTGATCGATACTGATGCCAAAAATGCAATCAGTAAAATTTTTGTCTGTCTGTCTGTATGTTCGTTATAGAAACAAAAACTACTTGACGGGTTTTAACGAATACTATAGTGTACTTTTCATCAGGCTACGATCAATAGAAGCAGAGCAGTGAAGGTAAATGTTGGGAAAACGGGAGAAGTTACTTCATTTTTACATCCGTTTAATTGCTAAGATCTAATTATAATTAATAGTGGGAAGTGGATTATTACTAGGGTCTGGTAGCCCTATTTCTAACAATATATCTAGCCCTATTTCTCAATCTGTCCATTTCTTATAAAAAACTATAAGTATTAACTGCCTATTTTAAATGTAGATGCATATAAGACATACATACATTTATTTCTACCCCGTTGAATAGCCTTTTTTCTTTCCACGATTACCACTTTGAATCCAATAAGGCTATTAATATGTGAGACCGGTGTCCGCTAACCCGCAGGACGTCCGCGCGCTCCGAAGCCTTATAAGGAAGTGACGTGCGTGCGCGCACATATTAATACTTATTGGTATAGATATATTTTTCTAAAAATATATCTCTAAGGTTTTAATGTAAAACTAAATCGAATTTGTCTAGAATATTAATTGGAGTATATTTTATATTCTTCTTTTATTTGTTTCTTTTTTTACTCTTTGTTTTTTTTTTTTTTATTTTAAATTAAATGGACAGATAATTTAACTATAAAATTGTATAAAAAATATCATTGTCTCCATTAGTATATAAAAAATATTTATAACATTAAATTGTTCTTCATCATCACTATAGTATAAAACAAAGTCGCTGTCGCTGTCTGTCCGTCCCTATGTATGCTTAAATCTTTACAACTACACAATGGATTTTGAAGCGGTTTTTTTTTTTTTTAATAAATAGAGTGATTCAAGAGGAACGTTTATATGTATAATACATGCGTAATATTGTAGAGAAACACTGATAATTTTAAAGGTTTCTAATGTGATGTCGTAATGTAATGGTGTGCCGGCAACGCTATTTAGTATCAGCATTGCACCCATGCGAAGCCGGGGCGGGTCGCTAGTATATGATAATTATTTCAATGGATTTCGAATGAAATGGTTTTCAATTGTACAATGAGACGATTCGTATGTGTATTTTGTTTTATTTTATAACGCAAAATCACGTATCTCGTAAAAGATATAGCTTCGCAACTGTCAATTTTCTATTCCATATATTAAAACAGTAGATTTGACCGTCACGAAATTATTGGAATTTCTTAGATAACTTAAAAGTTAAAAAAGTAAACCCAATAGATTGCAAAAAAAGTTTGAATATTGCTTCAAAACTTACCTTATTTATAACTTACCTTATTTATATTACGTGACCGTTATGAGTCACAAAAACTAATCATTTTATCAATATAGAACGAATTGAGCACTTCCATATTTTTGGAAGTCTTTTTTTTTATACAACTTAGAATGGCAAACAAGCTGACGGCCCACCTGATGGAAAGTGGTAACCGTCGCCTATAGACATGAGCAGTAGCATGGACATAACAGAGTCTACTGTTACGCCCATGATACCCCCCCCATGCGTTGCTATTCCTGAGGACTCAGGTGTTATTCCTCTGTACCCAGTAAATTCACGCCGTATCCCACCCTTCAAACCGAAACACAGCCATACAAACACAACTGATTCACGGTTGAAACACGAATGGGACAGAGATCGACTTTTGTACAAAGTCTCCCTCTGGTAGTCGTTTACAAATAAAAACAAAATGCATCGAATATTAGTCGGTTCTTCTGTGACATTGATATGTCCACTTGTTGCACAACTGCAACAAAATTACAAGTTTATATCCATTCACTGTGTGTTTAGCATACCAATTGACCGGGAAAATGAACGTTTGATTCGATATTACCAAATTTTTATAGGTATCGTTCGAAGACTAAAAAGACCACTTTGCTGATTCCCCATACGACCTGAACATGTTTCATATTTGTAATTATATTTCGAGTTATCTTCTCGCACGCCGATGCGATGCTCGCTTAATGTTTGGAAGTATATACTAATATAATAAAACGGAAACGTTTGTTTTTTTGGATGTGCTTACTTCTGGAATTACCTGTCGGATTTGAAAAAGTATTTTTTTTTTATTTGACAGCCCATTTCTTGAGAAAAGCGGCTATTCAATAACAATAACCTTTACACTTTCCCATAACCTGAGGGCCTACCATGAAATGTTTTCCGAAATTTCGGAGCCAAACGAAAAAAAATTTCAAGTTAAAATTACATAATGCATGCCGTTTGGAAATATTAAAAATGTTAAAATATTGTTCCTTTGGACTTTTATGATAGGATGTATGACGAACGAAATGTTAAACTCCATTTATTGGTCCGATTTTGGTATAAACAAAAACACGAAATTGAGTCCGAAATTTCGGAATTTAATTTAATGGTAGATCCGCTGGTCGAAATGTCGAGTAACGAGTAATTCAGGTAAATTATAATAGTTTACCTAAATAATCGCTTTAATTTCTCCTTTTAATTAATTTTATTCAATAACATCTTTATACGATACAAGCAGTAGTGTATTTTTTTTAAATAGGTGATAATGGTATGGCAACCCCGCCTGCGCTATAGGTGTACACTGGCGAGGCACCAGAGAGAGGTGATAGGTGAGGATGAATGGAGGTCAGTTAGCCAATCGTAACAAATTCAGTAATGAATCCACCATAGTTTCCAGGAGGAACCACGTGGGGGTCGACCTGATAGAGTATATTGCTAGTAATGGGACTATTTGACCCCCATAGTAGTGTATTATGACAACATATCTATAGGCGACGGTTATCACTTTCCATCAGGTGGGCCGTCAGCTTGTTTGCCATTCTAAGATGTATAAAAAAATCGTTAAAATTTTAAATAAAATATATTTTTATTTATAAAAATGATTGTATTATAAGATTACAATATTATTGTATTAAATACTTACCTAAAATATACTTTTTAGACATCTTATTAATATGGAGAGCACCGCCCATATGACTAACTTGAAAGGTATTTGCCAGCTTTAAACACCGTTCAATAACACATCGGACATTTATATAATTAAGTTTTGGAGTCCTTATAAATGTTTTTTTCTCTCTGTATATTATATATATTATGTGGTCTAAGACGTTATGCCCGTGTACCCTGTAATTTCACTGTCATAATCCCACCCTTCAAACCGAAACATAGCCATGCAAACACAACTACGTCACGGCAGAAACGCGAATGGGGCAAAGGTACCCAAGCAGACGATCACTTATCTTCCCACACTGGTATTACCATTCCATTATTACCCCATCAAAACATACAATTGCATTATACAGTGCTAACCTCTCCAGAACCACATCTACCCCATCATTTGAGAACAACTGGACTGTACAGTTCTTTAATATTAAATATAACGTATTTTTACCATTGTTAAGCAATTCATAGTTGGCTACACACAATTTATACCTTTGCAAAAATATTCACACAAACATTTGCAGGTACGAACCTATTTTCAACTTTCTTCCTTTGATACACAATCCTTTTTCCTCTGTGAAAAGGGCTAACAGAACTCTCGACGTATTAAGCAATTTTAAATCTTATTGCCTTAATTTTATGATGTTTTTATATTGTGATAAATTCCTTAGGGTGTCCAACAGAGCGTATCGTCGCGTTACTTGTTCAAAATGAAACATATGACTGATTGAAGTAATAAAGTGGGTCGATAAACTTCATAACGAATACCATTGTTATGGGAACAAGGAAATAGTGTTTTATTTATTCGACTTTATTATCAAAGGCGGAAGGTTTAATATTGCTTTTGATTAGGCCGTTTAGGTGCTAAGATGAAGTAATTATGAATTACCAATTATATAATTTAGCTTTATCCCGCAAGTTCACTCGCGTGAATCATTATATATATATATATATATATATATATATATATATATATATATATATATATATATATATATATATATATATATATATATATATATATATATATATATATTAAAGAATGGTTGTGCGTGGAAGAAAGTGCCTTGAAAAACGCACGGTGGAAGACCGCCACTCGTCCAGATGATGTATAAAAAAAGAAACAAAATCACGGCCTTTACAATAATTGAAGTCGATCTTTTTTTTTTGTAAAATCTTGAATTATTTGTGCTTATGTACATGAGTTCAATTCTGAACCGAATTTTATTATACTATAATTTTTTTTTTTTTTTCAATATTAAAGACCCTATTTTGTGGAGCAAAATCTACTTACAGGTTTACTTGTATTGTACACTTGTCTCTTATTATATGCTAGTTATTCTTTAAACCTGAATAGATTAGCAATAAAATTTTTAATGAGTCTTTTTTTTTTGTTCACAGTTCATTTGTCAAGCGCCGAATAACTCGAAGGTATGTTCAGTTTAATTATTAAAATGAGGTATGAGATAAAAAAAATCTTAAAACGTCATAAAAAAAATTAAATAAGTACCTATTATACATTAAATGATTTTTTTTTGTTGAGATGAGTAGCTAATATGTATTATTACATTGTATTCATGATATAATATTATAAATAAAAATAAATAATACTATGTGATTTTAACTGTCATCAAAAGTTTTTTTTTTTTTATACAACTTAGAATGGCAAACAAGCTGACGGCCCACCTGATGGAAAGTGGTAACCGTCGCCTATAGACATGAGCAGTACCATGGACATAACAGAGTATACTGTTTCGCCCATGGTACCACCATGCGTTGCCATTCCTGAGGACTCAGGTGTTATTCCTCTGTACCCAGTAAATTTACGCTATATCCCATCCTTCAAACCGAAACACAGCCCTGCAAACACAACTGTTTCACGGTTGAAACACAAATGGGACAGAGGTACCCAAGCAATCGACTTTTGTACAAAGTCTCCCTCTGGTCTTATGTGCTTACTTATTATAATAACCAATTTGTACCACGTGGCATACTAATAAATATAAATAAATAAAATCTTACCATTACTTTTACCATCTGGACGAGTGGCGGTCCTCCACCGTGCGTTTTTCAAGGCACTTTCTCCCACGCACAACCACTCTTTGGAATCAACTTCCAGCACCAGTATTTCCGAACCGATACGACAACATAAATAGTAAACTTCTGTCTATCAGTTCACGCAAAACCGGGACGGGTCACTAGTAAAAAATGTAAGATGAAATCGTATCGTCTGATTTTTAACAAAAACAAGTGGACAAATTACAGTTATAGAGCGTAACAATTCACGTAACCCCCGAGTTGCAAAGTTGATCCTAAGTATAACCTAACAGTAACTTATTTAAAGCGCGGACAGGTTCGAGAACCGTCACAGTGTACACCACACGAGCAGTACAACAATAAATATCCTTCCTAATCACATTATCAACTAACGCATAACTATAAGCTATGTCTATTATCAATTAACTCCATAATGAAAGATGTGTGTGCATTAATTAGAATAAAAAAAAGTATGACAGATGTTGATGCAGGATATTATCCGTCTGCATACTAAATTTTGATATTCATTATTACGTCACAAGTGACTTGACAGATTTGAATAAAATTTGGTACGTACATAGGCAGAATATAGTCCATACTGTGTATTAATTTAAAAAATACATTTTATAGGGTATCAACAGAGGAAAGCCGTGTGTTGAAACTAGTATAATTATAGTTTTAGAATCCCTCTGTTGATAATACTCTTTTAGTATACTATTACCGCAGGAATTACATACAAGGTGCAAGGTATACTGTTTCGCCCATGATACCACCCATGCGTTGCCATTCCTGAGGACTCAGGTGTTATATCTCTGTACCCAGTAAATTCACGCCATATCCCACCCTTCAAACCGAAACACAGCCATGCAAACACGACTGCTTCACGTATGAAACACGAATAGGACAGAGGTACCCATGCAATCGACTTTTGTACAAAGTCTCCCTCTGGTGGTGTAATAAAGTTATTGAAATAAATTGAAATAAATAAATATACAAGCATTTACTTCAAAATCTTGTAGGTACAGAGTTGCACTACTGTCAGCTCTAATCTACTGTGTCGAGATAGTCCACTATCATCACCGTTGATATCATCTAAGGACATTATATGGTCCGGTTTTATATTATTTTATGTTTATTTACAGTTAAAATTAACTACGTTGTATCCGAGTGGAAATAATTTATATGATGTATGGATATCTCAAAATCAACCTTTTGTCCTGATTTTAAGATCTGATTTTTATACTAGCTGAAATGGACTATCAATCACTCAATCAACTGATTGAGTGATTGATAGATTGATAATGGTTTTTTTATACAACTTAGAATGGCAAACAAGCTGACGGCACACCTGATGGAAAGTGGTAACCGTGGCCTATAAACATGAGCAGTACCATGGACATAACAGAGTATACTGTTTCGCCCATGATATGCGTTGCCATTCCTGAGGAATATACTATACAATACTAGACTTCTACTAGTCCAACTAAGCTTTTTGGAAAAATTAGTTAAATAACATTAAATAAAGTATGATTAGAGTAATTTTAATATTTATTGTATAAAATTTAAAACATTTATAAAGAAATTTTTAATTATAATATAAACTGTTATACAACTAACAAAAAAGAAGCTTGATTCTAATAAATTTTAAATTACTCACTTTTTGCTCCCGTTTTAATTTTGCCACGATTGAAATTGCCATTTTTTTAGTAGAGCAAAAACTGTCTATTAAGAACTAAAGTTGATTTGTAAACACACTAATTTGCGATTTCTATCCAAATATGCATAAAAATAGCAAAACAGTATATAGTCATAAGGAATTACAATGCATGAAGGGTATCATCGACGACACAGTATACTCTGTTATGTCCATAACACTGTTCAAATCTATAGGCGACGTTTACCACTTTCCATCACGTGGACCGTCAGCTTGTTTACCGTTCTAAGTTGCGTACAATAAAACACCAAACTATGTTATCAAAAAAGGCAGAGGAATTTGTTTTTGGAATATTCAGAAACCAGTATCTCCTAAGTGCTAATTTCGTTGCGTACGCGCAGAGTTGTTTCCATGTAAGCAAGACCCATGCTCGCGGTACTAACGGCGGCGAATGATGTCGATTATTCAAGAAAAATAAAATTACGCGAATGCCCCGAGCCAAGTATTAATGCGACTTCAACCGACTTTAATGTTCTTTTATAATTACCTAGTTACAAAATAATACAAAATAAAATGCGCAATGTATATATAATAAGTGACGGTAGTCGTACGATCATGTAAAACGATATGTGGTATTAACACAACTATTATTAAAGGAGTGTATTACTAGTCTATACTAGTTTTGTTTTTTTTTCTATGAATGATAATGGTATGGTAACCCCGCCTGCGCTATCGATATACGCTGGCGGGGCAGCAGTGATAGATGACAGATGAGAACGAAGGCAGATCAGTTAGCCCATCCTGACGAATTCAACTAGGATTAAACACGATGGTTTTCAAGGGGAAAAAGAAATATTTTTATTCAAGTAAACTTAGATTTAATCATTTTTGAACAGTTCTTTTTCATTACTCCCCATTCGGAATGCAATTTGAGCCAAGAAGAATGGGCAAGATGACTCACGATGCTTATTGTTCGATAATATCCTTTTATATGGTGGTGAGATCCATTCCCAGTAGTGGGACGTCAGTTATCATAATGTTAAAGCTGAATTGATGAATGCATAAAACAAATTCAATTCCCACAACGAACCGCAACGTTAAATTAATGTCCAACGTTCATAAAAAGGTCAGTGTATGCAGATAGCTCAGGACCGTTCTTTATGGCAGTCTATGTGGGAGGCTTATGTCCAGCAGTGGACGGATAATGGCTGAAATGATGATGATAATGATTCATAAAAAAAACATGTCAGAAAAATCTGCATGTTTTAAAAAAAAAGTCCCTAATAATAAGAATCTTCGCAGACGATTATGGCATTATAAAAAAGTCTAATATTTCATCATAACATGAGGTATATATAAAGTCGATTATCTCGCAATATTCCCTACATGAAATCGATTTTAGCTACAGGACGCGATACGGCGAGATCGAGTCTGTTATTACTCTACACGCTTAACTTCATAGATTAAAAAACCCATTCGGTACGCCCCTTAATAGGGTCTTTAGCAAAAAAGAATCAAATTATTGTAATGCGTTCAGATGCAATTTTTATAGACGCATCCCATTTATGGCCCGCCACAGATTACATTTAGGTTTATGGGTGAATAATTTAGTTTTAATTTTTATTGCATCCTCTACGACACTGGCGATATATGTTTCTTTTTTTTTCTGTGCGTGTGTTCTTAGTACAGAGTAATATAAATATTCATAACCATAGTGCATAAGCTCACGATTATAGATATAAGTTTAAATAGATGCAGCAACAAATATACGCATATTTTGTATTTATGACTTTGAATTGAACAAATAATATTTAATAACGTAATTTATTTTTGATAATATTTCTAAATTAAGTACCTAATTGACTCCACCTAAATTTTAATGCGGATGCGTTCTTGCACATATAAAATTATAGTAATAAGTTTAAAGGATTGACAAAACCAATATTAGGGATGGTATTTTTTTGGGAGGATTTACGAAGTAATTATCTTAATTTTATTTTATTTTTATATTCTATCACAAAATAAATAAATGAAACGAAATATATTTCATATAAAACAGAGTAATAATCTAGCTTGAGAAATGTAAAGGATAATGAGGTGCCACCTACGCTGTTACAAATACTTTTGCTCAACAATAAGTCATTATTTTAATGATCATCACATTACAAAGAACACAATGACAATCATTTCAATTAGAATAAAGAGATCTTATAATAAAAACGAAGTGTCGTCAGAATTTGGATTTATAGAATTAATAAAACTGTTTGAAGAAGTAATTTCGAAATTCAAACTCAATTGAATGGAAACTCTGTGAACGTTGATTATTAACCGACTCCAAAAAAACAAGGTTATGTTTAGCGCGTATTCTTCATGCATATAATGTAACACCAATTTCTCCAAAATTCCTCGATTTGCATGATTGTTTCTTTAATTAAAAAGATTTCTGTATTGTCATTTATAGTCATCATGCTCAAGCAGGCATTTTGTACAAAAATCTGTTTGGGTATTTCTGTCCCACATGCCAAGAAGACAACGTTTGCAAGATAGTTATTAGCAAAGGCTTATGGCTGTGTTTGAATAGTAGAAAATAGTAGTAAAAACATAGGCGGCTTGTTTGCCATTCTAAGTTGTATAAAAAAAATTGCTAACCGCAGATAAGCTTTCATGATGTTAAAAGAGAAACGCTGTTGCCCATTCACAGACTATTAAATTTCCTTAGTCGCTTCTTACGACATCCAAG